CGGGCGCGGGAGGCCCGGCTGGGAAGATGTCTCCTCTCGGTGCGCGCAGCTTCGCGCGAGGGTCAGCGACGGGGCAGCGGCCGCCCGAGCCGCGCCGGCCCTGCCCACGAACGGGCTCCCGCGGCTCGACAGCTGCCCGACGGGCTAGCAGGCTGGGGACGTCGACAGAGCTCGGCCAGAGGTATCTGAGCAACGCCATGCGAGCAGCCCAACCGCGATCAGGGCATTTCCCCAGCCAATCTCGTGCTTTGGGGCCCGTTTAAATTATAAATCCCATGAAGGACTGTGGCTTGGGCGTTACGCATCCGGGTCGACACTCTTGGCTTCGCTACACACTTGCTGAGAGGTGTCACACAGATCTTTTTCTCTCTGCCTTGGGTTCCTACTCTTTAACCTCTGATCCTGGGATTCAGGAATGCAGGAGAGGGGAAAGAACATGGAGTGAATCATGTAACTTCTATAAACAACCTTCAGCTCTTTTAGGAGACCGAGAAAGACAATTGAAGTAATGATAGCTTCTGTTTCTATCAAGGTTTGAGCTCTAGGGTAAAGGCACTATGTAAACCCAAGGTAGTATTATTTATTACCACAGGATGTTTTTCTACATGCACATGTTGGGAGTTTTAAAAACGTTCTCTACTTTGTTTCACAGTATCCTTGGGAGTGTTGTACTCATTTTAAAGGTAGACAACTGAAGTATAGAAGAGTTAAACAGCTTGCCTAATCACTCGAACGGAGAGGAGTCCTGCGCTCTGCAATAGCGGACTGCAACATCTCCCAACAACAAAAGAAAGGTTCGTTAGTGCACTTGTCGTGATGAGCCCCGGGGGTTTATGGAACTGTAGAATCAGTGTGCTATACACCTGAAACTAATTTACGCTGTATGTTAACTGGAGTTAAAATAAAAAATTTGAGGGGCGCCTGGGTGGCTCAGTCGTTAAAAAATCTGCCTTCGGCTCAGGTCATGATCCCAGCGTCCTGGGATCGAGCCCGGCATCGGGCTCCCCGCTCCGCGGGAAGCCTGCTTCTCCCTCTCCCACTCTCCCTGCTTGTGTTTCCTCTCTCGCTGTGTCTCTCTCTGTCAAATAAATAAAGTCTTTTTAAAAAATAATAAATAAAATAAAAACTTTGAAAAAATGATTTGTTAATACGGTCTTACCCTCTTGCATTCCAGTCACTGGGAAATAGTCTTTATCCTGATACCAGTTTTGTTCAGACTTCTTAGATTCTCAGGAGCACTGATGTGAAGAAGATCTTCACCAAAACCCTATCAGGTCTAAAGCCTTTTTAAGTCTTTCAGACTACAGTAAAATATATTTTAAAAGCAGCAGTCTTTCATACTGGTGCTATGGTTCCAGAGGCAACTGGATGTCTGTAGGTATAGAAAAAGGCAGCAGCTTGTTTTAAGTAGAAGAGAAAGAGTTTTGCCATTGTCAGATTAAGCAAGTGTTAGGCCTCATTGCTATTTGCAAAATAAATGGCTTTATTGACTTCCCACCTATCCTTATAACCCATGGGATACTTGGGGGCAAAGAGAAGAAGGGGTTCTCAAAGTAGTTCAACTTGGCCTTGCCCTTTTTCTTAAGGTCCCGAGCCCCTCAAGTAATTAACCCTCAACACTGAGTGAGTTGCTCACCTTCAGCAGATACCTCCTATAGATTTAACCCAGGTAGGAATGCTGGGAGGAAACCTAAGAAGTCTCCCAGAGCAATAACAGTCATACTTACTTTGAACAGAACTGCAAGTAAAGGTTTGTCAGATTACAACCAGCTCTTTTCCAGTTGAAAGCCATTTGTTAACTAGTCTGTGTGGCAGGGAGGGGGGAATAGCATTTAAACAGATATACACGGTGGGTTTTCCACAGGCAATCTTTGTTAATATTTGAAAGCAGATGTGCAGGGTAAGATAAGAGATAGTCAGATGGCAGTGATGCCCCCAAAATCACAATTGGCAAGGGTGTATTTTGAGCCTCACTGCTTTGCCCTAAAAGAGACGTTTTCCAGAATAAAGCTTGGGTGATTCCCCAAGAAGGGCACGAGAATTATGAACTGTATGGCTTCTACTGTAGCTGCAGGGAGATGCAGAGTGGTGGATGGGAAGAAGGAAAGAAAAGTACCTTCTAGAAACATTGAGAAGAGGATCCCTGGCTGGAATAAGCTGGCACCTTAATAAGATATTAACAAATCTCTGCCTTCTCGAGCAAAGCTGAGACCCAACAAATGCTAAGAGTCAAAATCCAGATCACCCACTTCTTTTGGGAGACTTTAGTGGGTGGAAGGAAACTATATAGTCTCGTCAACCAAGTTAAACTATTTCTAATTTCTCTGCATCCCTTAAATGTTAAGGAGGAAATAGGGATGTCCCAAACAGTGGAAGTCTAAACCCAAATAGAGAAGTTCGTTTTGAAGATTCCCGTGTGGTGGCATAACGAGTGATTAAAAAGCTTTGACGTCAGAGACTAAAGGTCTACCCCTTTACTCTTCAAAGCCTCCGTTTTTCATCTATGAAGTGGGAAAATGCCTAACTCTCAAATGAATAATGTTTTAAAGCTCAATGTGTGGCACATAATAGCCTCCATTTATAAGCATTTACTATGTTTCTGACCTCTAGTTTTAAGGAAAGTTTTGAGTAAAGATGCTTCAGTATTTAGGGTAAATTGACATGGAGTAGAAGTAGTCACTCAGAGCTTCTCTTTCCCTTTCTAGCTCCTAGCCTTTCTTTTCTCCCCACCCCTGATGTCTCTGATCTCCATTTTCCTCTCTTCCTGGATTCTGTCTGCCTCTCTCTCATCATCACTTCCCTCCTGAGGTCTCTCTCTTTCCATCCTTCTCTCCATCACTCTGCCAATCCCCACCTGCTTTGTTCATTCCTCTCTCCCAGCTCAGCCTATTGTCATCTATCCTCAGCAGAGCAGACCTTGCTTGCCCACTTCCCCTTACCCATGCATTTGGAGCACTTAATCAAATACTCTCTAGTTTTGCTAATCATTTCCTGAACATCTCCCTCCACCTCCTTCCACTAGACTATAAGTTCCTTCAAGGCAGGAGCCAGGCCACATTTGTATCCATCAAAAAACCTTCCCAAATCAATATCACATACTGTGTCAAACTTAGGAGAGGTAAAAAACCAGGTGTTGGGTGATTGTGAGTTTTAAGGGATAGAAAGCTTTCTTTTGAGTATGGAAGTAAAATCTGAATTGATCAGGAGGAAAAATGGAAGCCAGAAATGCCCTGAGGATTGTCGTATCATTGAACATGAATGGCACATGAGATTCTTGTAAGTTTCATGGAGCATGGTTGATCCCTTCTGTAGAACTATGGGACCACCGCCCTCCCTGGCCCCATGCCTCCTTGCTGCCATTTTTTCTGGGCATGTAGCCTGCCTTTGTGTGGACCTGCCCCTCCTGACTTGTGGGGTTGACTTCCGCTGTGAGGGCAGCTGCAGCAGCATCTGGGATCCACCTGCTCTTTTTAGCAGCCTTGCTTCACCTTGGGGCCAGGCCACCGTCACTCCCACTTCTAAAAGGGAGGACTCCCTGCCTTTTCCAGGAGTGGGTCTTGAAAGATGCCAAGCCCTGTGCGCCACCACACTTGCGCTTGGTTGGGGGCTCTTTCTGGCACCCTGGGGGTTTTCAGTTCTGTTTGCAACCTTATGCTTGCTCACTGGCTAAACTGCTGAGAGTTTGCAGTGCTGCAGCCACATCCCCAAGGGGCTAGTTGCCTAGACACTTAGGCCTGTTCCTGGATCCGCCTAGTGGGTCTGATCTTTGCCCATCTTCTTCAAGAACATCCATTGCCTTTTGTCAGCTTCGGCTAAGTCCGGTTCTTCTTTGGCCGATTTGTGAGAGGTTCTTACCAGATGTATGTTATTAGCCCAGGCCCTTAACCTATCAGGAACCCTGTTCTCTCTTTAATAAAACAGAGATAACGATTCCTGCCCTGTTTCCTGCTGGGATTATTGTGGAGTCAAATGGACTAATGCACACGAACACCCCATGGAGGCTAGAAGACAACACATTTACACAGGATCAATGGTTCTCCTATTTTTTCTCGTTTCTTTTTTTCCTACATGAAGGGTTTGTTTTGCTACTGAGGACCCTGTGCCCAACACTAAATTGAGTGCTAAGATGGAAACAGGAGATTTGAAAAATTAGAAAGCTTGGCTTTTTACCCTTGAAGACTTCACATCATGGAGGACATACCGTGAAGAGGTAACATGCTTAGAGAACAATTACCATTACAGTCAACCACCAGACGATCATGTAGACAACAGGAACTGGAGAGAGAATTCCACTTGGATGTGGGCCCCAGGGGAGAGGGAAAGTTGCACATTTTTGTTCATGTTCATTGCTAGATCCCAGATGCCTCCAACAGTGCCAGGCATGGCTGGCACTCATCTGTCCGTGTTTACTGACTCCATGAATAAAGTAGTGTGGTGATGCTTTTGAGAGACTGGAGGGCTTTGAACCTTTGCAGATAGGTTTGGTTTTGGTAGAGTAAGAGAGGCACATAGGTTCTGGGGCAGAGGGTTGATGGGACAGCAATTGTTGGAGGTGAACTGTTCTTGCGGCTTGTCACTTCAGCTGGAATAGAGCTGATGGAACCCAAAGCCCCTACCAGGAGGTAAGGATGCAAATCTTAGGCCAAGTGCTTCCCTCTCTTTACTCCAGTTTTTCTTGTGATCTAGTCTCTCTGCTCCACTGATCTCTACCACCTCCAGTTTCTGGGTGTCATCTTCAGAATCCATATTGGAAGCACAGCTTTCAATGTGAGATTATGAGCTTAATATCCCCAACTTCTTTTTTCCAAATGCCTCTTTAATTATCTTGTTCGTATATTGGACGTGTGTAATTTTAAAATGATGATCTTTTTTCCCCAAAATGCTTGCTAAATATTTAAACTCTGAAATGTATTCAGTTGTCTTTTTCTTTCTGGCGAAATCTATTTTCACACTCCCTGGGGGAACCACAAGAAAATATTGACTGCATTTAAGGTGAGATTTTCATGTGTTTTTTTTGCAATTATACTTGATTTGCCACCCAGCTTGGAGTTCATGTTTTGATTTTGTCACCATTACTAGTTCTGCTTCTACCATTGATCTAGTTATCATCTTGTTGGTAAACTTTCTATCCCTGTATAATTTCTTGGTTTGAGAAAACTGGGAGACACTATATGTCTATGCCTTAGCCTTTATTACTAAAACTGATTACAAGATTTACCAATATCCATTCTTTTAATAAACATGTTTATAATGGTGAAGGCTTATGTTTTGCGTAAATGTTAGTATTTTCCATAATATATTTAAGCATTTTCTGTTTCATTTCAGCATTTAGTACTCATTTACTATTTCCTTCTTTTTTTAAAGATTTTTCATTTATTTATTTGAGAAAGAGGGAGAGAGTATGCTCGAGAGAGAAAATGAGCAGGAGGAGCAGAGGGAGAGGGAGAAGCAGACTCCCCGCCCAGCAGGGAGCCTGAGGCAGGGCTGGATCCCAGGATTGGGATCTTGTCCTGAGCCAAAGGCAGATGCTTAACCGACTGAGCCACCCAGGCGCCCC